TATAGTGTCACTGAAGAAAGCTGAATTGACAGCAAAGCAAGTGTACATTCAACATTGGCCAAAATTCTGCTGCTTAGTATAATAAACTGCACTAGAGTCAGCCCAAATAAGTTGCAGTTAAGAGTAGGCTCACTTGAATCAATGGAACTCATGGAAGTGATTCACTAAATCCCCATTGATTTAACATGCCCACTTTAGTGTGATTTATTATTATGCTAAGGAACAGGATTTTGGCCAGTAACCTGGAGCTGTCAATTACAGAGAGTATTATAACATAATTGTTCTGCTTAATTCTGCCTTTCTGTGACTTACAATAAGCTTTCCTGAAAAACGCCATGTTGAGCAGATTTGCAAGCCAGAAGTATGATAGGAAAGGAACTGTCTGGGGGCAAAAACATCTAGCAGAAAAGTTGGATAGCTGCCACGGTGCCTCTGTTGACACATGGGGAAATCATTCTTTCATCAAAAGCATCCAGAATTCATGCACCGAATTTCAGCCTCCAGTGTTCCTCTTTAACTTCAAGGCAAGACTCCATGGAATGCACACTCCTGGCTTGACAACAATCCTTAGTCACCTGAGAGCTGGCATGGATTGCTCGAGACGTCACCATCCGCAAAAGGGATTAGATACTCTACAGTCTATCAGAAAAAGGATCAGCCTCGATTCCCATGTTCCTGCCACCAAAATAAGCTGCTATCACTTTGACACTCAAGGTCATTTTTCATGGGAGACTCTGTTTACAAGCTGCATGACAGCAACAGACAAAAATTAATCTAAGCACAACAATAGAACATGATATAAAAAGAAAGAAATGCTGGAATGAAAGTGGTGGTAAGGAATTTGCCACTCGTTCCCATTTTTCATTGTCTCTATTTTCTTGTTATTCCAACTGCACAGACCTATTTTCTTGTTATTCCAACTGCACAGTGGACCAGGAAGGGCCTTGTTTTTCAGATATTTTTGCCCATCGACAAAACACACTTGTTGCCATGAATTATGTCCATTCACAATGAATGATGGTGGAGAATGCGCTCTGTTCATCATCCAAACTCATATCCCAAAACAACAGCAGTGTCACCACTACTACGCAGCTCTTGCAAATGGGCATGGGGAAGGAGGGGAATGAGAACAAAAGGAAACAGATCTACCAAAGAGATAATCTACAAACTTTGAAATGACAGCTAAATAAATTCTCAATATATAAGAAACAGACAAAGAAAGGAATCCCTTCACAAGAAGCACAGAACCGAGCATAACAACATCTGCCTGGAGACCAGCTTATACATTAGGGATGGATGTAACTGAAGTTTATTTATAATCTGGAAACACAGTCTTTCTGCTGAAGTGAAATACTAGAGCTGCACCTTCCAATATTATTGCCATTTTAACAAACGTGGGGGGGAGGGGGAGTAGCTTATAGAGACTTTTGATCGGCAAGATAAAAATGCAAGCGCTTCAGACATTGCAGACAATAATCTATTGTGATAGAGAAAACTCTTGCGTACATATGCATAACAAATCTCAGATGCTTCTAGAAAAGACTGCATTTGCACTGCAAGCAGTAGAGGGAAAGAAGGGATCACGGAATACAAGGAAGACGGCTGTCACTATTTCCCCAGTCACCAGACCATCCACCGGAGCTGCTCCACAGCACACTCCATTCTCCCATTTCATTCGCATTAAGTATGCCTGGTGAGTTATCTTTTACTGTCAAGGAAGAAAAATCTCTTTCTTTTGCATACAAATAGCTGCTGCTCAAGGTTCCTTCCCAGACTCTGGTGGGGTGCGGGGACCAAGTGTGGAACAAATTTCATTCTCATGCCTGCCCCAGCAAGTCTCTTGGCTTCCATTAAACTTTCTCTCTCCTATATCCTGCTGTTCGGGGAAAGGCAATCTCACTGCTATCCCAAGCCTATCCCTAGCAGCCAGGCTAAGAGGTTGGATTGCCTTGGAGTTCAGATGTCATCTGGCATCATTTTTGCTCCTGTGGCTCATTTTCATTTTCTCTATTCAGAAAAGAAGTGTTAGTTTAAACCATAGGTTCCCCAAGTAGTCTATATGGTCGCCCAGGGGTCAATTTTGACTTGCAGGGGGTCCACGTTAGAGAGATAAAAAATTGGGGGTGCAAGTTTAGACTTGTATCAAAGCTTTGCAGGGGACAGGGGGTCTATGGAAAACATAAAAGTCGGCAAGTGGTCTACGGAGCAAAAAAGTTTGGGAACCTATGGTCTAAACTAGTGGTGGCGAACCTTTTGCGTCTCGCGTGCCCAAAATGGGGGGGTGGGGGACAGTGGGTGGTGTGCCACCGCTGCAATAGCAGCGGCAACGGACCCGGAACCGGAAGTGGTGGTTTAAGGGGGAATCATGGTGACAGGCCCGGAGGACCCAGAAGTGGCGGCGGAAGGGGAATCCCGGCTGCAGCCGCCTCATGAGGTTTGGCTGTGCAGGGTGTGTGTGTGAGGGAAGTAGCGACCTATGGCTCGCATGCCAGAAGAAAGGGCTCCGCGTGCCAGCTGTGGCACATGTGCCATAGGTTCACCATCACTGGTCTAAACTTTAATGGCAGCTTATTCTACACAGCTTTAGAGTGACTGCAGAATTTATTATAGCTGCCATGATTATACAGTATGTACAAACAAGTATGAATTGGGCAACATCCTGTTTGTGCAGTTACACCAGAATAAACTGGATCCTAGAAATAATTATTTCTGGTGCCCTAGTGCAGTTTACACCTTTGTAACTACGAGAACAGGACTTTGTACAATGTGCCTACATTACTCTGGCAACTGATCTGGAACAGAATCTTTTTTAAAAAATTAATTCCTCCTTCCCCCTTTTCATCTCTTATGCATCCCATCAAAATTCTGTCTGCTCTTTTTGACTTCCCACACCCGACCAATTCCTTTTCCCTACACTAGTGCTCGGAAAACTGTTTTGCACAGGAAGTCCCTGAACCCTTCCACCAGTAGCCAGACAAAATTGCAATCCCAAATAGTATCTTCCCAAGCTTTTGCCATACACCAGTGGTGCCTCAACTTACAAATGTCCCAACTTACAACCAATTCGAGTTACGACCGGCTCAGGCCACAAAATTTTATTTTGACTTGCGACTGGAGCTTTGAGTTATGATTGGAAAAAATGCAGGGAAAAAGGCAGGGAATTCAAACTGCTAACCATTGGTGGTGAACAGGCTGCTTCTTTGTAGCTCAGCAGTTAGAGAGCGTGCGTTCGGAGGAGGCTTTGGACTGCCTGGTATTAGGTGCTGCTTTCTGCTTTTTAAAATTGCCTGTTCTGGGTGGGTTTTGCAGCATGGTTGGGCCTTCTTTTGGGGGGGGTGTTATGTTTCTGTGCTGTGCTGGGTCTTGCAGTCTTTGCTTTTTGGGGTTCCCCCCATTTTTGATGGGTCTTGGGGGTTTGTTTGCTTTTTGGGGTTCCCCCCATTTCCAATGGGTCTTGCAGGTTTGTTTGCTTTTTTATTATTTATTTATTTATGTTGCATTTCCGATGGGTCTTATAGGCTTTGTTTGCTTTCTGGTTTCCTTCTTTTGGATTTCCCATAGGTCTTGCAGGGTTTGTTTGCTTTTTGGGGGTCCCCCTCCCCGAATTTCTGATGAGTCTTGCAGGGTTTCCTTTTTGATTTTTTTTTTTTTCATTTCTAATGTGTCTTGCAGGGTTTGTTTGCTTTTTGGATTTATTTTATTTTATTGCATTTCTGATGGGTCTTGCAGGGTTTGTTTGATTTGGGTTTTTTTCCCCTTCAGCCGGAACAGATTAATCGTGCTTCCGATGGGTCTTGCAGTGTGGTTTTATTTTGTTTTTGGTGATTTTTCCCCCCCTGGCTGGACGGATTAATCGCATTTCAATGCATTCCTGTGAGAAATGGTGCTTCGACTTACGACCATTTTGAGTTACGACCATCTTCTGGAACAGAGTAAGTTCGTAAGTTGAGGCACCACTGTATTTCACTCTCCGCCAGCTTTTTAACTGGATGTATTGTAGCAAGCCCCTCTCTTGAGATACATAGTGACCTGATAAATTACTAAGGTTCCTATATGAACTTCTTCTAAACTCTTGTTTCTTTCTATTTTCTTTGACAAGAAAAGAAAATTGTGATTTTTCCCAGAGTCATGTTTGAAGAAATTTTACTGAATTCAAAAAGCCAAATTCCATAGACCTGCCCAGCTGACAATTAAGAATTATGACCATTTGCAGAGTTTAGTTAATGAGCTGGAAGATGTTGTTGTGCTGTTGCTATGAGCCATCATTCACTTCTGACCCCCTATGAATGAGGGATCTCCAAAATGTCACTTTGTCAACAGGCTTGCTCAGCTCTTGTGAACTCCAGGCTGTGACTTTTATGCAGTCAATTCATCACATAATGGGTCCTCCTCTTTCCCTGCTGCCTTCAAGCAGCAAGAAACAAGGGAACAAGCCCTTCATCAAGCATTTTGCTTAACTCAGCTACCAAGGAGATGATTTTAAAAGGAAAGGCAAAACTGACATCTGTTAATGGCATACCGGGCCATTTTTCAATCTGAACCAAACTGCATTATCAGCTTCCAAAACGATTCCTAAGGAAGTAAAAATGGCCAAGGAACTTTGCAGACATCTCTTACATTAGGTAAGAGAACATGACTTCCAGACTTACCTCACCTTAGTCTCCTCTCTTGCCATTCATAGTTCTGTCTAGGCCCTGATTTGCTTCTACCTGGTGTGAATTTCATTCTTCCCCACACCACCACTGTCTTATAGACTCTGACAGCAACAGATTAGATCACAGTCCAAACATTTACTATTCAGTTCTTGAACCAGTGTCCTGCCTTTCCATCAAATGCTGCTCAAAACTGATCCCCACTCCCATGCCTGCTGCAGCAGCTTTGGATGCACATTCTTCAAAAATGCACAATACCTTAGCAAACAGGTGACAATGAGGGGGAAAAAAACAACCCACCAAAAGTCAGAGAGATGCACGAAGATGTCCTGTTTAAATATGCCTCACCTTGTGTATGTGTCTGCATGTCTCGGGCAAGCTCCATGGGCAGAACAGAATTCACAAGAGCAGAGATAACAGCAGCATCCAAGTTGCACATTGCACCAAAACACTTCAGCAGCAGCAACCGTAATGCGACCCTGTGCTCCTAAAAAAGGGAAGGTATTTGATGACAAAACATCTAGCTGAAAATTGTTTTCTGTTCTAATTGACATTTATCTTACTTCTATGCCATCTTTCCCCTGGCAAAAGGAGCCAAAACATCTCACAGGTAATGTTATAATATGAGCCTCGTACTTAGTTTAAAAACTGAATTTAGCAAAACATGCACAAACTGTATCAATCAACAGTTTCCCCAATAGGTGAGTCCAAATGGAAATTGGCCATTCGATTATCTGAAATGGCAGAGATATCATATACCAGATCTTACCACTGCATTTTCTTCTTCTATCTGAATAAGAAAAAGATGTGTCCTTCATTTTTGTTTAGATGTATGTAATATATGAAAATGGTCAAAATATCTTTTGGTTGCCAAATGGTCAGCTGGCAATACAAAGTGGACTATGAGTTCTCTCAGAAATTACTTCTTGTCTGTTTTCTAGAAACCTTCTTCAAAGTATGCTTTTAATACTTTTAATTCTTCGATTTTTAATGCAGGCATGTAAAGTCAGACATCTCACACCTTACCTGGGTAATACCATTTTGTGGCATAACAAGCTAATTAATGAAACCTAAATGGCACTCCCCTTTTGTGTATTACCACAACAGCTTAGCTTACGGTCGGGTGTGTTACTGAAAGCAGCTGTAAGTCACATATCAAAACACAGGCTGCATTGTGAAGTGTCTGCCGACTTCCAGTGTTTATCAGTTTGCACCATTCTTTCTTCCAATCATTACTGAGAAAAATCACTGCACCCAAATCTGAACGATTCAGCACAAAGATGGAGATCTCCTTCCTACTTTTAAATGGACCTACACAGTACTGTCATCTAGGGAGTCTTCTGTGCTGATCCATAACACCACAAGTCACGGGGAGATAACACCAAAAGACACAAAACTTTCAGTACACTGTTTGGGATACGAGGGAACAGCATCACTCCTCCAAAGAGAGCCTTCTAACTCACACTAACAGAGAACTGGTTCAATGTCCTCAGAGCAGTCTGCCACAAAATAATTCTGTTAGAAGAAATGCTAGTAGGAACACCCACATGAACTGTATTTTTCTGTTCTAATTGACATTTATCTTATTTCTATGCCATCTTTCCCCTGGCAAAAGGAGCCAAAACATCTCACAGGTAATGTTATAATATGAGCCTCGTACTTAGTTTAAAAACTGAATTTAGCAAAACATGCACAAACTGTATCAATCAACAGTTTCCCCAATAGGTGAGTCCAAGTGGAAATTGGCCATTCGATTATCTGAAATGGCAGAGATATCATATAACAGATCTTACCACTGCATTTTCTTCTTCTATCTGAATAAGAAAAAGATGTGTCCTTCATTTTTGTTTAGATGTATGTAATATATGAAAATGGTCAAAATATCTTTTGGTTGCCAAATGGTCAGCTGGCAATACAAAGTGGACTATGAGTTCTCTCAGAAATTACTTCTTGTCTGTTTTCTAGAAACCTTCTTCAAAGTATGCTTTTAATACTTTTAATTCTTCGATTTTTAATGCAGGCATGTAAAATGGGTAATACCATTTTGTGGCATAACAAGCTAATTAATGAAACCTAAATGGCACTCCCCTTTTGTGTATTACCACAACAGCTTAGCTTACGGTCGGGTGTGTTACTGAAAGCAGCTGTAAGTCACATATCAAAACACAGGCTGCATTGTGAAGTGTCTGCCGACTTCCAGTGTTTATCAGTTTGCACCATTCTTTCTTCCAATCATTACTGAGAAAAATCACTGCACCCAAATCTGAACGATTCAGCACAAAGATGGAGATCTCCTTCCTACTTTTAAATGGACCTACACAGTACTGTCATCTAGGGAGTCTTCTGTGCTGATCCATAACACCACAAGTCACGTGGAGATAACACCAAAAGACACAAAACTTTCAGTACACTGTTTGGGATACGAGGGAACAGCATCACTCCTCCAAAGAGAGCCTTCTAACTCACACTAACAGAGAACTGGTTCAATGTCCTCAGAGCAGTCTGCCACAAAATAATTCTGTTAGAAGCAATGCTAGTAGGAACACCCACATGAACTGTATGAACTGTATGTATATTGCAGATAACTTTTATGAGCATCCTGTCAAAACATGAGCCACCATTTGAAGCTTCTCCCAAAGCAATAACCTTAACCCTCAACTTGCTTCTTTTCTGTGGAGATCCTTTCAGGTACGATGTCACAAAAAGCAACATTACATGTGGGGGAAAAACCACACTGATTTGGGGCCTATACAAGGGGACCATCAGTCGCACCTCCAGGTGGCACACTGCATTCCACACACTGCAGATTTTTAAAAGAGAAGAGTCCAAGCAAAATAGAGCAATGATACCATGCAATGGGAAAAGGTGAGACTAAGAGGAACAAGTTATCTGGGTCAGGCTGTTATAACAGTGAACTCTGAAAAAAGGGATGAAGCAAGCAGAGGACTCATTTTTGAAGGCACCAAAGGCAAACTCCCACATGTTCCCTGCATACTTGATTTCCTTCCTTTCTCACAGGGAAGTCTCTTCATAACCCAGTTTCTAATCCAAAGCTGTTTACCAATGCACACATGTGCCTCAATTAAGAGAAGGGAAGGAACAGCCTGCCTGTGTTCCCAAGGCATTTTTGGAAATCCTTCCTCCTGATGACAGCAAAGCTGCTACCTCTATTCCTTAGTGCAGCTTTTTTTAAAACCAGGACAGCTAGCTCTATCTTGCAAACTCCTAATAGGGAGTCAGCTACTCTTTATTTCTCCCATGTAAGAAAGTCCCCATGACCCAGATACAAACCTTATTTTTATCCATTCTTTTCCTGAGGTTGCACGCTCCAAACCATCTCTGTGCTAATTGCTTCCTTCCCCCCCCCCTGGTTTGTTTACATCTTACTCTTGCCTGTTTTACAAAACCAACATCAGATTCCACACTTCTTCCTCTAGAACTGCTGGACAGCTCAGTGCAGAGCAAGAGGTTGGGAGTGAGATTCTCCCACTGTGCCTCTTTGACAGGGGCTGGACTTGATGGTCCATACAATCCCTTCCAGCTCTGGAGTTCTAACATTTCTAAGATTATACCTCCTGAGTTCTTGCCACTTCACTGTAACACATAATACTCCTAGTTTTACAGCTGGCTGCTTATTTCCAAAATTAGATGGGGTGATCCACCCACAGTCCAGTGGAAGAGGTTGTATGATATTAGCTTTTAAAGAATATTTGGTATTTGCTTTTAAATAATTTCTTAGTCTATTTTTCAAATACATTTTTAAATAACTAATGCATTGTCAGTTGTTTTTGGAATGCTGGTGGGCAGGAGGAAGTAGCCAAATGTTTTAAATACATTTTAAAAAATTAATAGAATAGAAAATACTAAGGGTAGGATTTGGAATGACCAATCAGTATTAAACTTGCATCTACATTCATTTACACTTGCTCCAAATTATCAGTAAATATATCTGACACGTAAATAAAAAACATGCTGTAGTGATTTAGGATTTAATAGAACTTGTATGCATCACTGCTCTATTGATCTAGTTAGTACAAGGGAAACTGGATGCAATCTCGTACCATTTGATAATATGCAACAAGGGACAAAACTGATTCAAAATCATTCTTCTTGCACATCTTCTTACAAACTTCAGGATCTGCATCTGTCTGGAAACATGGAAGAAAAAAAAATGTTCTGATGTATCAAGAGTGGATTGTTAATAAAAGCCAAGAAGGAAGTTCAAGTTGCAATTTTACTCCAACCGTTTCCACTTCCCAAACATAAAATTGTGGCACTAAAAAACAAAACAAAACAACAACTAGTTCCATAAATTTCCCAGGACACAAGAAAGTACACAACAATTTCTGAATGCACCAGGCAAATGTGTCCTTGATTCTCTTGAATATTAAATGTTTCAGGGGCAAATCTCTTTGCAGTGTATGATTTGGTTTAGGAGGCACAGCGTCAGCTGTTCAAAATGCAAAATCCCACCAAGAAAGCCCTGCCCTTGCACACTGCTACTATAGTTCCTTGGATCTCTTTTTTTACACTTCAGCATAACATAGAAAAACCATTACTACCAACATTTTTTTAAAAAGGGCACCTCCTCTCAAAACAATTATCTAGTCAGTGTAATAAGCATTCATTCATCCTTTATTCAGATAGCATGGAATAAACAAATGCAATAAATCTGGACATACAATTAGACTCAGACTCTCAAAACTCCTGAAGATGTCCCTGCTTCTACAACACCGAGCACCAATCTTAAAAGTACTGCTTTTTTTTAAAATAATCTTGCAAAATGTGATAGCAATGTTATCATCGCTAACAGTATCACTACTGAATTTCAAATCAAAAATTTACATGAGTGGGAATTTGCTTTTAAAAACATTACTTTAAAATGCTACTAAGAAATTCTATCACCTATTATTCTGGAATTAAAAATACAGTAGTTCATAAGAAGGCTCGTTCCCTTCCAATTCACACCAAAGTTCTACTGTTTTTCATTTCAGGCCTGGCTTTCGTGGAGGAGAGGTTTTGCTGTAGTAAAAACCCTTTCCCTACATAGGTTTCACATCTCTATGCAAAGGATATGCACCCCAATGTACCAAATTAAAAAGATGTAAGTTGTTCCAGATTCTTGTTTCCCAAACTCCCAGCTAACTACCAAATGTATCTGCTCAAAGTGTCTGTCTTTCAATACATATTCCTACCTGTTCAGTTCTTCTTTTGAAATTCTTTTAATAATCAGTTTTAAAACAAGCAAAGGTAAAGTGATTGCATATCTCAACTCCTTATGTTCTGGAAGTGCAGATCTCTCAGGGGGAATACAGATGAAGCCTGGGTTATTACAACACATGCATGGCAGAAATGCATTTACATTTTTCATTTAATTTCCATCCACTGTCCATCAACTAATAAATTAAGCTATCTTGCTATTGGTTCCGTATTTCTACTAAAGAAACTGCTGAACAAGCAATTTTAACCAAGACTTTCCTGCCACCAAAGTGAGAGTGGGAAACTACCAGAATGCGAAGCAGTTCTTCCAAGTAACAGCAAATGACATTTTCATCTTCATAGAGCGCCCAACTACGTTGTTGAGCATCATCTTTGTGCCGGGCTAGATCTGCAAAGATCACCTTCAGCCTTTCTTCATCATGGCAGATCTGTCCTGAAGGCAGTCCTGAACACAGATTCTTGAAGAAGAAAAAGAAGGAAAAGCACTTTAACTTATCACTTTAACTTTTCCACTGCAATTTGTCTTCACAAAGCCAATAACTTTGACAGTTATTGCAAATGCATGAAAATACAGCGTGTCAGCACATTTCTTTCTGAAGGGAGTCTCTTCTGAGCTGAATCTGGATTTCCCATTGAATGTTGTACAATTGCTGGAAGGGGATAAGGCCTGGTAACTAGTTCTTCTACAGTGCAATCCTATATATCTCTGTTCACAAGTAAGTCCTACTTAGTTCTTCAAGGTTTATCCATAGATTAATATGCAAAGGATTTCAGCATAAATGTTTTAAAAATGATTAACCATGTAGAATAAAGCTCAGGGGGAAATTCTGTTAAATGTCATATTAACTACGGCAACTAAGAAATCAACAGCATGTTTCATTTTTATTTATGATTTAAGTAATGATTTTTAATCCAAAATGGTTCTCAAAATGGCTTGCCAGAAATAAAACTCAAGATTAGCATCTAAACCAGTGAAGTCCAGGAAATCCAACAAAAATATCCATGTATCGGTACCTGGCTGCTGAGCCAGAAGTTGCGAGTTCAATTTTCCATTGGGAGAAGAACTTTCTGGGAGAAGAACCAGTCTGCATAGCCATGGGCAAACTATACAGTCCCAGGGTGCCCCCAGAAAATGGAATGATAAACCACTTCTGAGTATCCTCTACCTAGAAAAACTGTAAGTCAAAATCTACTTGTTGGCATGCAATTAGTAGTATTATGCATGACTATAGACCTCAGAAATAAAATAATGTATTTATTTTACTGTTAACAATTAACATAAAACATGTAAGACAAGATTCTGTAAAGTGCTTTGTAACCTCAAGGCTCTACAAAGTGTCACTGTACGTCAAAATCTACTTGTTGGTATGCAATTAGTATTATTATGCATGACTATGGACCTCAGAAATAAAATAATGTATTTATTTTACTGTTAACAATTAACATAAAACATGTAAGACAAGATTCTGTAAAGTGCTTTGTAACCTCAAGGCTGCCACTGAGGAAAGATCCTGCTATCTTCTTAAACTCTGATGGAAGCAGACTACAGAATAATATTTCTGCTAATGATTCAATTATGCACATACATTACTGTATATGGGAAGTGGTATCTCATGCCCAGATTGTACTCTTAATTACTACAGGTAGATGGTAAATACTTTTTCTTGTGTATAATGCATCTTAGTGAGACTTTTCAAAGAAAACTACTGACCTAAGCCTTGTTCAGTTGTTATGTGTCTATTTGTTATACTCATGCATAGAGAGGAGTGGCTAGCTCCTTCTCCTTTTTCCATTGCTGCTTCCTCCACAAGGAGAGCAAAGTGTCTGAAGCAGAAAAACCTGTGCTCCCTTGGAACCTCAACACATTCACAAAACCTGGAAAAATCTGGGCTCCTATGTGTGCATACAGCCTAGTGGCAAGTAGAAGCTCTTCTCTTCAGAACACTGCTCTCTACATGAAGAAAGCAACAACAGGAAAGTGTTAGTCACTCTTCTAGAGCAAAATAAGTGGAAAGATAATGACTTTAAGAGGTTTGAAATATACCTGTAGATTGATCCAGTGTGACAACATTTGCATCCAAATGTTTTAATGCAGAAAAACAACCAAAGAGACCACCAAATGATGGTGTCATGAGAAAGGGGGCAAAGTCACCTGGGGAACCATGAAGGGAAAGACTGAAATGCCAGGACAGATATCAACAATTTTGCTTTTTATATTTATTCATATGCCAATGTGAGACTATGATAGGTCACTAAGATTATGAAGCTTTAAATGACTAAAAGAAACCAACTTTTGGGCCTTCAAATGGATTATTTTGTACACTGTGTTCTGCTACCTGTTAATCCCACTAGAGTCTCAACGAGGTTAGTATTGGTTGTTGTGGGTTTTTCGGGCTCTTTGGCCGTGTTCTGAAGGAGGTTAGTATTACTTACAAGAACATAAGCATTAATTAATGATTTGAAAACTGGAATGTCTATTCTACTCAGTGTCCTGGGAAACTGAAGGCAAACAGCTCTAACAGTTAATTCTATCAGTAAACAGAAAACCATACTGTATTCCTCAAAGATATATATATATCCCGAGGAGCCAAAGCATCAACACAATACAGCTCACTGAACACAATCATGCCTGAAAAGGCTTCAGCAGTTTGGGAATGGTAAAACTGTTGGCTTTTCCATCTGCCAGCCATGGTATTCACTTGATTGGATATATCAACCCATATTTGCAGAAGTGTTATAAAGTCACTGTCACCTGCTTCTTGATAGGACATGCTGGAATGCATTTCTCTCTAAATGCAACATTGGTTTTGTCACAAAGGCAGGCAACACTGGGGTGAAGATAGTGTGCTTGAAATTTGTAACGTCATAGCCTTAGGACCCCAGTTACAAAGAGATGGATATGTCTTCTCTCCTTTCCATGTTCCAGCCTCCCACTAGTGCTTACTTACCCAACAGCACTTTATAAATTGCTAATAAAATTGTTACCTCTGTATCATCATTCTAGTTCATTCTTCACGCTCCACCTATCCATCAAATGCAGATAAGTATCAATTTCTGCCACATGCTAAGCTTTGTTTCCCGTAGGTTTCCAAATATTAAACGTTATCCCAATAGGGCTTGGCCAAATAATGATAATAAAAAAACCCCTCTCTGGGTACCTTTAAAAATTGTTATTCATAAAGTTCCTGAAAGCATAGCAGCTCAGATACACCCAAGGAGATCCTTAACTGGCATCACTGAAAGAAAGATTTACATGAGAAAAACAATACTGTACAAGCTCCCATTTGAGTCAAAACATGCCCAGAACCACTTACAATATAATTTTCTCACATATTCTCTGAAAGAATATTGGCCACCATTTACCTGGTTTTTGTCTATACTGGCCCAAAGCAGCTTCTATAGATTTCAGACAGAGATCCTGCCCAGTCTCTGCTAGAGATGTCAAGGATTAATCCCAGGACCTTCACACTGAATGCATGCACTGAAGGCTTGAGATACAATCATTCCTCACTATACATAACGGATTCTGAACTCAATCAATTATACTTCTCAGAAACTCACTTGCTCATTAGTTTATTATCAATCTGATGTGTGAACCTGTTAAGATCTTCAAAACTGCTTATCTGAAGCACTGAATCAATACCATTCTCAAGAACTGCTTCTTGTGGCATGAGAGATCATAAAAAGCTGGCTCATTTCTGGCATCCCACTTTGACAGAATATCCTAGAAACCAGACATCACGAAAGCACAACTTGGTACACTACAAAAAGCACAGGCATCCCAAAACAGGTGGTATTTTAATGTCTTTATTTAACAGAGCTAATCAAGAAAGGACTGTGAACTTTATTTGCTTCCGGTACTCACACTAATCCCTGAACTCATTATTCTTTTCTCTCTTTACACAAAGCTCCAGTTGGTAGATCTTGGGATTATAGCTTAAAAAAAAACCAACCCAAGTAAATAGCACAAGTCTTAGGTCTGCCCACTTTATGTTATTATATGTATACTGTTAAAAAGAACCCCAATTCATTTAATGATCAGCTTATTTTCATTCTGACATTCCTACTGTTTTGCTTGCTTTCAGAATTCTTCCAAGTAAAGTTACTTACCAAAGACCAAGTTAAGCTGTGTTTCCTGTAGGTTTCCAAATGTTAAACACTCTCCCAATAGGGCTTGGCCAAAACCCCACAAAAGTTCATGAGACACAAACTTTCCCTATTCATTCATTTAAGGGATGGAGACTGGGAAAATTTTACAGAATGCCATGAAAAAGACACATGTTCTACTGCTATCAAGGCATACCATCTGAAAATTTATTTTCCAGAATTTCTCTCCATGCTGTTTCTCAAGTGCTAGAGTTCAGAGAAAGTAGGTATCAAAACTGGAGGAAACAGGATGATGTGCCAAAAGCTATGAATTATTAACATCCCAAGGAAACTCTGTTGCAGCAACAGAAGAGGAAATCCTACATATCCTTGTAACTGATTTTCAAGGATACACCATTTTAAAGGTTATATGAAAGGAATCCTCAGCAGCAGCGGCAATAACAAAAACAGACTGCTATTTAAAAAATGGGGCAAGTGAAAACAGTTTAAAGGTAAGATGAAGTGTTCAGCTTTATTAATAAATAATATTTCTTCAGTGTACTACTGAGGTAGTCTCTCCAAGAATTCCTAAAACTCTTTTATCACAGTCTGATAAAAGACTGTGAGCCAAGTTAAGCACGTACTAGACCTCCAGTGCAATTTGCAGAATTAATCCTAGCTACATACTTCTCACTTGACAGCAAGCTTCCCACACATATGTATCTCTCCTGTATCTTCTTCACATGATGTGCTAGTAGTAGAAATACAAGGAAAAGGTGTTGTCATGGATCCCCAGCACCGTTCTCTATATCCATCCCCACCTATTTCACAAAATCATGCCATCTTATTAAAGTGTAGCGGACACTGTGTGCAACTGTAAGCACTGAACTATATACTGTCATACCATTATTCTTCTGATCCCCGAATCCTGACCCCTCCTCCACTGTCATTAGCTTACTCAGCAAAGATTCTGTTGCTCATTAACATTTCACACTTCAGCACTGCCTCATTTCAGTTCAAAACATCTTAAATGTTTACAAGTAAAAAAAAAATGCACAAGGCCTAGGAACAGTATTAAAACATTAAAATATTAAGAACTAAAAATGAAAGCATTAATATTAGTGTCAGATGAAAGAACAACAACAACAAAAATCAGAAATAAGTCCATGGCACAGAATTCCCAAGCTGTAAAACAGAGGTGGGGATCCTTTAGCAGCTCTAGAGTTTATTTTTGTCCTCTCCCTCTCCCAGAACTCAGAGGGCTGCAGGCTGGGTTTGATTTAAATAAACTGGTCTAAATCAAAATTGAAATCACAATTGAAAATTTTTAAAATTGTTTTTTTTTGGACAATTTAAATGAAAAATGATTTTT